TCAAGACTTTCCCTGTCAAAAAACAAAGTGCGAGCGTCGAGGGGCACACTTTGATTCAGAAAAAACAGTATGCACCGGTGGGGGGGTCAACAATAATTATTCTTCAGAAATGAGAATTCAACAACAACAACAACAACAACAACAACAACAACAACAACAACAACAACAACAAAGCAAGGGAGGCCAGCGCCCACCCGCGGGGACCCCCCCCCGCAACGACCACAACAACGACCCCCCCCCACCACACAACACCACAACAACGCCATTGAATTCCATTTGTGTGAACATCTGCGGACCTCCTCTCTGGCACCAACGAATCCATGCCGGCAAAAAGCATGCGTGCACCAGCGAAGCGAAGAATTCCTAGGAATCCTCAGGAATTCCTAGGAATCCTTAGGAATTCCTGGGAATCCTTCGGACTACGTAGGAATCCTTAGGCAATCCTCGGAATCGTTCAAATTCCTAGGAATCCTTAGAATCCTTTCAAATTCCTAGGAAACCTTAGGCATTCCTAGGAATCCTTTCGAATTCCTAAGAATCCTTAGGCATTACTCGGAATCCGTTCGAATTCCAAGGAATCCTTAGGCATTCCTAGGAATCCTTTCGAATTCCTAAGATTTCCTAAGATTCCGAAGGAATTCCTAGGACTCATGAGGCATTCCTAGGAATCCTTTCGATGTCCTAGGAATCCTTAGGCATTCCTAAAAATCCTGTCGAATCCCTAAGAATCCTTAGGCATTCCTAGGAATCCTTTCGAATTCCTAGGAATCCTTAGGCATTCCTAGGAATCCTTTTGAAGTCCTAGGAATCCTTACGAACTCTTAAGAACCCTTAGGAACTCCTAGGAATCATTAAAACGTCCTAGGACTCCTCAGGCATTCATCGGAATCCTCAGGCATTCCTATGAATCCTTAGGACTTCTCCGAAATCCTCAGGAATTCCTGAGAATCCTTAGCAATTCCTAAGAATCCTTAGGATTTCTCCGGAATCCTTAGGCATCCCTAAGAATCCTTAGGAATCCCTAGGAATCCTTAGGATTTCTCCGGAGTCCTTAGGAATCCGTCGAAATTCTTAGGAATCCTTTCCTAAGGTTCCTTAGGAATCTCCGGATTCCTTGGAATCTCTGGGAACTCTTAGGAATGCGTAGGAATTCTTAGGCATTCTTGGGACTTCCTAGGAATCCTTAGGGATGTCATAGGAATCCGTGAGAATGTCCTAGGGATCCTTAGGAATTCCTTGAAATCCTTAGGCATCCTGAAGATTCCTAGGGATCCTAAGGAATTCCTAAGAATCCTCGAGATTCTGATGGATTCTCACGATTCCAAAAGATTCCAAAGGATTCCTAAGAATTCCGAAGGATTCTCAGGAATTCCTAAGGACTCCTAACAATTCCGATGAATCCCCGGGGATCCTAAGGATTCCCAGGAATCCTCGAGATTCCTAAGCATCCAAAAGATTCCTAAGTATCCGTGTCTGGCGGCAACGAACGCAATCCTCGAGCCCACCGCTGCGGTGAACGGGGCGGCCATACGGCTACCAGCCAAACAACCAACCAACCGAGCCGCCGAAGGTGAACGGCCGCGCCCTCCTCGTCGTCGTCCTTCTCCTCCTCCTCCTCCTCATGTTCCTCCTCCTCCTGCTTTTCCTCATCACGCCTTCCTCTTTCCGACCATCCACCACCACCTTCTCCTCTTCTTCCTCCTCCTCATCATCATAATCCTCCTTTTCCTCCTCCTCATCATATTGATCCCCCTCTTCCTCGTGTTCTTGCTGTTGCTGTTCCCCCCCCCTCCTCCTGATGCCCCTCCATTCCTCCTCCTGCTTGCGCCCCCCCTCAGCGGCTCTCAGAACCTTTCAGAAGCTCTCAGAGGCGCTCAGAACCTCTCAGAGGCGCTCAGACCTTCTCAGAGGCTCTCAGAACCTCTCAGAGGCTCTCAGAACCTTTCAGAAACTGTCAGAACCTCTCAAAGGCTCTCAGAACCTCTCAGAAACTGTCAGAACCTCTCAGAGGTTCTCAGAACCTCTCAGAAACTGTCAGAACCTCTCAGACGCTCTCAGAACCTCTCAGAAACTGTAAGAGGCTCTCAGAACCTCTCAGAGGCTCTCAAAACATCTCAGAAGCTCTCAAAGGCTCTCACAACGTCTCAGAGGCTCTCAGAGGCAGAACCTCTCAGAGGCTCTCAGAACCTCTCAGAAACTTTCAAAAACTCCGACAAAAAAAAACTCTCAAAGGCTCCTAGAGGCTCTCAGAAACTTTCAAAACCTCTCAGAGGCTCTCAGAACCTCTCAGAAACTCTCAGAGGCTCCCAGAAGCTCTCAGAGGCGCTCCGAAACCCCCAGAGTCTCGCAGAGCCTCACGCAGACTCCCGAAGGCTCTCAGAACCGCTCCTAGTAAATGTGGTTGGAAGTCCTTGCAATTCCTACGAATCATTGGAATTCCTAGGAATCCATGGGATCCCTAGGAATGCTTAGGGATTCATAGGAATCCTTGGGAATTCCTAGTAATCGTTAGAAATCCATCGGAAGTCCTACGAATCCTTCGGAATGCCTAAGGGATTCATAGGAACCCTAAGCAGAAGGATTTCCTAAGGATTCGTAGGAATTCCTTGGAACCCTTCGGAATTCCTACGAATCCTTAGGAATCCATAGGAATCCCTAGGAATCCTTCTTGGAATTCCTGAGAATCCTTGGGAACTCCTAAGAACCATTCGGAATTCATAGGAATCCTTCGGAACTCCTAGGAATCCTTCGGAATTCCTCGAAATCAATAGGAATTCTTACTGATCCCCAGGAATTCCTAGGAATGCTTCGGAATTCCTAGAAATCCTTCGGAATTCCTAGGGATCCTTAGGAATCCCTAGGACTGCTTCGAAATTCCTAAGAATTCATACGAACCCTTCGGAATCCTTAGGATTTCTCCGGAATCCTCAGGAACTCCGAGGAAGCCTTAGGAATTCCTAAGAATCCTTACGAATTCCTAGGGATCCTTCGGGACTCCTAGGAATGCTTCGGAATTCCTAGGAATCCTTAGGAATTCTTATGAACCCCTTGGGATTCTTAGGAATCCTTAGGAATTCTTAGGCGTCCCCAGGAATTCTTCGGAATCCTTAGAAAATTCCTAGGGATCCTTCGGAATGCCTAGGAATCCTTAGGATTTCCGGAGAATCCTTAGGATTTCCAAGGAATCCTTAGGAATCCTTAGGAATCCTTGCGAATTCCTAGGAACCCTTAGGAAGTCCTAGGGATCCTTCGGAATGCTTAGGAATCCTTAGGAATTCATAAGAATCCTTCCGAATTCCTATGAATCCTTGGCAATTCCGAGGGATCCTTAGGAATTCCTACGAATCATTAGGAATTCCTGAGAATCCGTCGGAATTCCTAAGAATGCTTCGAATTCCTAGGAATCCTTAGGAATTCCTTGGGATCCTTCGGGATTGCTTAGGAATCCTTCGGGATTCCCAGGAATCCTTCGGAAGTCCTAGGGATTCTTAGAATTTTTCAAAAATTCCTAGGAATTCCTAGGAATCCTGAGGAATTACTGAGAATGCTTCGGAATTCCTAAGAATCCTTAGGAATTCCTAGGATTCCTCCGGAATTCCTAGGAATGCTTAGGAATTCTTAGGAATCCTTAGGAATCCTTCGGGATTCCTAGGAATCCTTCGGAATTCCTAGGAATCCTTAGGAATTCCTCGGAATCCTTGGAAATCCTTAGGAATTCCTGGGAATCCTTTGGAATTCCTAGGAATCCTTAGGAATCCCTAGGAATCCTCAGGAATTCCTAGGAATCCTCCGGAATTCCGGTTGTTGTGAGTGTTGTGGGGGGGGGTGTTGTGGGACACGGGTCGGGGCGCCCCGCCCTTACTAACAACAACAGCAACAACAACAACAACAACAAGAACAAGAACAAGAACAACAACAACAACAACAACAACAACAACAACAACAACAACAACAACAACAACAGCAACAACAACAACAACAAGAACAACAACAGCAACAACAGCAACAACAGCAACAACAGCAACAACAACGACGACGACGACGACGACGACAGCGACAACGACAACGACAACGACAACGACAACGACAACGACAACGACAACAACCACAACAACAACAACAACAAATCCAACAACACCAACAACACCAACAACACCAACAACACCAACAGCAAAAACCTCGACAGCAACGCCTGCAAAAAAAACAACAACAGCATCCGCAGCAATAACCACAACGACGACAACAACAACTGCAAAAGAAACGGCGACAGCAATAACAACAATAGAAACGATAATAACAAGAACGACAATAACAAGAACAATAACAACACAAATATCAACAATAACAGCAGCAAACCCAACAACAACAACCACAAAAACAAAAACAACGCCCGTATCGCAAAGAACAGCAACAGCAACAACAACAACAACAACAATAACAACAACAACGGCAACATCGGCATCAACGACATCAACACGATCAACAATATCAACAACCACAACCACAACAATAACAAGCCTCATTTCAACAACAAACAACTACAGGAGCATCAGCAACAGCAACGGGAACAACAACAACGACAACAGTAGCAGCAGCATCATAAACAACACCACCATCATCAGCATCATCAAAGCCAACATCATCATCATCATCATCATCATCATCATCATCATCATCATCATCATCATCGTCAGCAGCAGCATCATCAGCAGCAGCACCCCCATCATCATTTTTGAGCAGCAGCAGCAGCAACACCAGCATCATCACCATCATCAGCATCATCAGAAGCAGCCTCATCATCACTATTATCAACACCATTATCACCATCATCAACATCATGCTCACCATCATCATGACAACCACCACCATCATAACCATCAACACTATCATTATCACCACCACCAGCATCGTCATCACCACCACCATCACAGTCATCACCACCACCATCACCATCATCATCATCATCATCATCATCATCAGCATCATCATCTTCCTCCTACTAGGTCCTTCGAGCCAGTCGCGTGGAGGACGTACCACTGCCGCCGCTCCTCGGAGAAGGCGGCACACACGCCGTCGCGGCATCGGATGTGTCCCTCGTTCAACCCCTGCGCGGCAGCACGCACGGACTTCACCACGGCCTCACGGGGGGCGCGGAGGAAGAACCCATACCCTCTCAGTCCCCACCTCCCCTCCCCTCCCCTGCCGCACAACTACGTATAGGCGCCGCGGCGTGCCCCTGGGACTCCTCCCCTGCGCGGCTCGGAAAAAAGGCTGCAGCTGCACTGGGCTGCCTCGCGCTGGGCACGGAGCCAGGGGCCAGGATCCACGAAGCTTGGGATGACGTGATGTGGGCCGCTCTATAAGTCCTCGGTCCAACAACAAAAAAATCTGTCGGCAGCGAGGCGGGACGATCCGCTCCAGCGTGGCAGCGATGCAAGGACACTACACAGCGAATTGGCAGGCACGCAGGAGAAGGGAAAGGGGAGGGAAGGGCGGCCGCGGAGAGGGACAGGAGGGCGAGCACTCAGAGGCGGAAGACCTCCGCCACGAGCAGCCGGAGCGGCCGGCCCCAAAAAAGCAGCCAACCCCAAAAGAAACACGAACTCTCGCGGGCGCGTTGCTGCTTCCGCCCGTTGTCCGCGAGCTGGGCCGCCCTCGCGCTGCTGCCGCCGCCCTCCGCCGGCGATCGTCCGGCCTTCCGCCGCCCTCTCCGTCGAGGCAGCGGCGTCGACTCCTCTCGGCCCCATCTCGAAAGCGATGGCCCCCTCCAGGCCCCGTAGGTTCTCTCCCTCCTCGCCCCGCCCCACCGCAACCCAGCCGAGGCGACTGGCAGCAAGCACGGGGGGGGGGAAAGGGGGGCGAGGATGTCCGCAGGACGAAGCCCCTCTGGACTCCAGGGCTGACGGAGGGGCAGGGTGTCTTCCCCTCGGCGCGACGTTGGGAGAAGCAGGAAGACAGCTGAGGGGAATGAAACGCGAATGAACAGAGCCGACTGTGTTCAGTCCGCGTGGCCGATTGGCGGTGTGCACGGGACAGGGTTGAGAAGACATAAGCCTGCACTGGCCCCGGATTCGGACAGGATAGGGTAATGACACAAATGACCCGAATTCGTATCATAGCGAAGCGCGTGGCTGCGCAAAATCAAAGGCGGCAGCACGCAACGAAAATGACACGAAATTCGGCTCGCAAATGTGAACGAGAGCGAGGGAGGAGAAGCAGGAGGGGAGGAGGACAGGGGGCAAGAGAGGAGGAGGAGGAGGAGGAGGAGGAGGAGGAGGAGGAGGAGGAGGAGGAGGAGGAGGAGGAGGAGGAGGGGGGGGAGGAGCAAACAGACGGCGAGCATTAGGCTGCGTGCCCGACTTACCCCAGTCTGGCAAAAAAGATGCAGCCACAATGCAGGGGGGGCGGAGGAAGGGGAGCAGAAAGGTAAAGTGCGCTAAGACTGCAATGCGTCCGCCCTCGGCCGAGAAGGACGCAGCATGCTGAAGACAGTCTGGGTGGAATGATGGCCCTGCTTGGATCACAGGCGGCCGGCAAAAGAGGACAATGCGGGCTCGTTGGCGACTCCCTGGTCAAGGAGCGGACGGCGAGACCAAGGGGCCCTCCATAAACCACCTCCGCGTACACCAGCGCGAACGCCAGTTACCGCACGGAGGACGAACTTCGCACCACGAGTGAGGAGGAGAGCCGAGAGGGGGGGAGGGAGGAGGGGGAGGGAAGGGAGAAGAGGAGGGCGGAAAGCTACGCCTGCAGTAGCTGCACCTCTGGCCACACTTGGACAAGAACTGGAGCCGCGCTGAAGCCCCAGGCCCTATGAACGCCATAGTTTCACAAGCCGACTCCGGGCCCCCGCCCGAAGAGACTTACGCTGCAGGTGGTGCCGCTAGGCCCCCGTCTTGAGACCCCCCCTCTGGAGATCGGTCTGCCTTGGCGGCCGCTGCCCTGCCAGAGCCGATGCCATCAGCTGGAACCGCTGCATGACTGCGCAGTGGCCACCAGAAACTCCGAGACCGGCTCCGCCGAAGCCTGGGGCTCGCCCCCCCCACCCCCTCCTCCTCCTGCTCCTCCTCCTCCGCCTCCTCCTCCTCCTCCTCCTCCTCCTCCTCCTCCTCCTCCTCCTCCTCCTCCTCCGCCTCCTCCTCCTCCTCCTTCTCATCCTTCGCCTCCTCTCCCCTCCTCCTCCTCCTCCTCCTCCTCCTCCTCCTCCTCCTCCTCCTCCTCCTTCTCGTCCTCCTTGTCCTCCTCCTCCTCCTCCTCCTCCTCCTCCTCCTCCTCCTCCTCCTCCTCCTCCTTCTCCTCCCCCCTCGCGGGAGCGGGGAGGCCCGTCGGACCTTCGGAGGGGGAGGGGAGCGAGGACGAGACGGGCAGCGGGGGCGGAGGGCCGGCCCGCCCCGGCAGGCTCAGCCAGCGCACCGCATCGGGGAGGCGAGGGCGGGAAGAACGAGGCGAGGGGGCCCGGACCCCCTCGAGTCCTAAAAAAATAAGGACGGGAGACTTTTTCCTATTTTCGGCCTCCAGGGGCCCTTCCCGGACCTCGGGAACGTCATGAAACGACTCGGGATGAAAAGCCGGTCCACGAGAAGGGGTCCAGACCTCTGAGGGGTCGACGTGGTGAAAAAAACACGACGTCGGAGGGCTGGGGGGAAAGATGCACCGGGAGGCGCGGTACCACTTTGAGCCACTTTTCGCTCGATGCCGGCCCAAACCGTGACGCTATTGGCAACGCGGCTGGAAGATCAAACGACCCCCAAGGGATCTCAAATCGACGGGCGATGGCATCCCCAAAATCCGCTGCCCGAGACGATCGCGCGTGCCTGGCGCATGCCTGCCTGTCGCGCGCGGACGCGGCTGCTGCCGCGCGGCGGGCCAGAGAGACCAATTTGATGGAGAGGCACTACGTATCTTGTGCTCGGCAACACAAACACACACACACACACAAGAGCGAGTTCCCCTCAGATCTGGGCCGCAACAACGTCTACAAAAGAAACATGACCGACAGTTGTTCACTGCGTTCGGCTTCCAGGACTGGCAAAAACGGCCCAGAACGAAAAACGGAGTCCAGATCGTCAGGGACCACGTCACGAAAAAAATGCGACTTCGGAGAACAGGGTCTACGTGGTCATATCCCCCATACCTCCCCGCACCCATCCTCCCTTTTGCTGCGAAGCGCCTCCTGCAGCCCAACCCAAACCCTGGCTGCCTTGTCGAGGAACTGGACCCTGCCATCGTACTCCGCCTCCTGGCCCTCCGCGCAAAGCTCGAACGCGACGTCGGGATCCCACCGTGCACTGGGCAGCGCACCACGCGACGCCTCCGCTTGGAGGGTGCCATTTACGCGCCCGCCTCCGCCTCCGCCTCCTACTCCCCCTCATCCTCCGCCTGAGGCAAATGAGGCAATGACGGCAGTGGATCTCTCCGAACGCCGCCGCTTTCCTCCTCTTCTCCCTCCCCGGCCTCCTCCACGGTCCCCCCGCCTCTGCCTCCCCCTCCTCTCCCTCGCTGCCTCCTCCTCCAAAGGGCCACTCTGCGCTGGGCAGTGACGGCACGAGGGGGCAGGAAGAGACCGCGCGATGGGGTCCACCGCCGACGGGCCCAGGCCCCCGACGTGGTGACTTCCGCCGCGCGGCTCCCCAGGGAGGTCTGGACCCATCCCCCTCCTCCTGCTCCTCCTCCTCCTCCTCCTCCTCCTCCTGCTCCTCCTCCGCCTCCTCCTCCTCCTCCTCCTCCTCCTCCTCCTCGTCATCCTCCTCCTCTCCTCCCTCCTCTCCTCCTCCTCCTCCTCCTCCTCCTCTCCTCCTCCTCCTCCTGCTCTCCTCCTCCTCCTCCTCCTCCCTCCTCCCTCCACCTCCTCCTCCTCCTCCTCCTCCTCCTCCTCCTCCTCCTAGCTCCTCCTCCTCTCCTCCTCATCCTCCTCCTCCTCCTCCTCCTCCTCCTCCTCCTCCTCCTCCTCCTCCTCCCCAGGGACCGACGCTCCATCCCGAGTCGAATCTTGACTGCCCTGGCGGCCGCAACGTCCCAGAAGCCTTCCGTCGTGAGCTCTCCTCGGCGCGACGAGGTCGAGCCACCTCACCCCCTGGGCAACCTCCGCGCCGCGTGCCGAAGGCGCCCGCCGGCGCGCGGCGGCTGCCTGGGGGGGGGGGGGCGGCCTGGGGCCCCTCGGCGAGGGGGAGGGCGGCGCCTCTGCGGCGAGGAGAGCCCACGTGGCCCGCGCGGGAGGCAGGATGGGCGCGGCTGCCTCTCTCCCTGGGCCCTCGCGCGGGCCGGGCGCCTGCTTCGCGACCGGGGAGGCGCCGCGGAAGGCCGGTGTCCTGGGGGGGGCGGGGCGGCGGGCGACGGCGGCGCCCCCTCCCCTTCGGAGCGCGGGCGAGGCGCCGGCGCCGCGTGGGAGAGCCCGGCAGGACGCTGGAGGCCTCGGAGGCACGTTGTCCGTCTGCTCTTGCTCGGCGCAGCCTGCTTGTGAGGTACGGCGGGTTCGTGTCGTGACGTCCTGCGCGTGGGTTTCTGGCACCGCGGGGGTCGTTCCGTCTTGAGCGCTCGAGGCTTCCCTATGTCGCAGACCGTTCGACATCGGGGGCTTCTTGGCCACTGGCGGCGTTCAACCTTGAAAGCCCGCGATGGAGTCGCCGCCGCGCAGGCACGACACGAACCCACCGTGGGAGGTGGTGGACAAGCTGCGGGGCCGCGGCACGGCGCCAGCTCGTGCTGCAGCCACACGGGATCGCCCAACATCTCTGGCAACCGTGCACCGTTCCACAGGAGGAGAAGGAACAACAACAGGAGGAGAAGGAGGAAGAGGAGGAACAACAGCAGCAGGAGGAGGAACAACAGCTGGAGGAGGAGGAGGAGGAAGAGGAGGAGGAGGAACTACAGCAGGACGAGTGGGCAGCGCGATTGCCACAAGTGGACGTCGCGCACATCGGTGATTGCCACACCAGCACGGACGCTAAAAAAAACACAGGCGCGATGCTGAGCGCGAAATTAGAAAGCTGTGTGAATCAACACCCACGCTTGCATGCAAAAGGAAACATAAAGAGAGGAGGAGGAGGAGGAGGACGACGAGGAGGAGGACGAGGAGGAGGAGGAGGAGGAGGGAGGAAGAGGATGAAAAGGAGGAGGAGGCCTCGTGGCTCAGAAGGCCCGCCCAGGGGCCGAGACAACGACTTACGATGGGCCACGGCGGCCAAACTTGACAAATCGAACCCGAGGCGTTGACAACTCGGTCTGCTGCTGAGTCACCTGCAGCATGGACTCGTGCGAAAAAAAAACGGCCACTTTTTATCAACGTGGCCAAAAAATAGCCGATAAATATATATATATATATATATATATATACATATATATATATATATATCGTTTCACTGCACAGCTTCGCAGGCGTGTATCCCAGGCGCTCGGCGCACGGAGCCTCACTCCTCAGACCAGCCCGCACCACACTCGACACACGTTGCCAGGGGGGCCCCGGCGGACGGAGTGCGCCTCTGAGTCTCATTGCCCCTGGCAGTTCCTCCCTGGCGCGCCGAAACTATGCCTGGCATGACTTGAAGTGCACATGAGGGTGCATCCGACTCTGAGAAGTCAGGAGGAGGTGGAGGGGGAGGTGGAGGGGGAGGAGGAGGAGGAGGAGGAGGAGGAGGAGGAGGAGGAGGAAAAGGGGGAAAAGGAAGAAGGAGGAACATGAGAAGGAGGAGGAGGAAGAGGGAGACGATGATGCTGATTCCGATGATGATGATGATGATGATGATGATGATGATGATGATGATGATGATGATGCTGATGCTGATGCTGATGCTGATGCTGATGCTGATGCTGATGATGGTGATGATGATGATGATGATGATGATGATGATGATGATGATGATGATGATGATGATGATGATGATGATGATGATGATGATGATGATGATGTGGCAAACTGTGCATGAGCCTCAGCGCGATTGAGTCTAAGTACGAGTGAGTCTGTGCGCCAGTGGCTCTGACAGAGTGCGTGTTGGGACAGGTCTGAGTATGAGTGAGTCTGAGTATGAATGGGTATGAGTGTGATTCGGTGCGAAGGCCAGTGAGTACAAGTGGCTCAGAATGTGAGGGAATGGGTGAGGCTGAGACGGAAAGATCCCGCAAATAAGAAGAACCCCAACTGAGCCCATGGGATAAATGACCCCGACGAGACCCCAGTTGAGGATCTTCTCTTCCCAGGCAGTTCAGATCAGATCTGAACAATGCAGCGCAATTCGTTAATTTGCATTGGCTGGTATTGTGTGGTACTGAATGCCAATGCATTAAATTGGCTTACACTACTTGGCGTTGCTTGACATTGCTTGGCAATCCCTGGACTTGCTTAGCACTGCTCGTGGCATCGATTTGCATTGCTTGGCATTGCGCGGCATTGCGCAGCAATGAGTGGCATGAAAATATATTGCCTGGCATGTCTCGGCATTGCTCGGCAGTGCTTGGCATTGCTTGGCAATCCTTGGCATTCCTTGGCATTCCTTGGCACTGGTTGGCATTGGCTGGCATTGCTTCGTACTGCTTGTCGTTACTCGACGCTGCTCGGCATTCCTCCGGGGCACTGCTTGGACATGCCTGACCCTCTTGCTCGACACTGTCTGGCACTGCTTGGCACTCCTTGGCAACACTCAGCACCACCGAGCAGCGCAGACAGACCCCGAGGAACCCCCGGGCTGCGCCGGAGGCCGCCTCCCCGGTCGAAACGCCGAGGGCCGCCGAGGATCCGAAGGGCGAGGCCAGCGAGGAAGGGCCCCGCAACCACCGGGTTCTTGCACAAGCGGATATGAAGGGGCCCTGGGACACACAAATAAATACACACAAATTGAAATATTCCCCATATTTTCATATATTTTCTGGGTTTTTGTCTTCCCCCCACTTCCCATAGTTTCCCATATTTTCTGGGGAATCGCCGATTAATTGTGCCTGTGTGTTTCTTTCCCTCCTGAGGATAGGACTCCCCTAGGCAAAGCCTGCGTCAGGTTCGTGTCGTGCCGACTTCGGCGTTGGTTTCTGACACCGCGGGAATCGTTCAACCCTGAGCGATCGGCCATTTCCGAAGCGTCCAAATCGTTCCACGTCTCACGATTCTGGGTTCTGGGTCGCCCGCGGCATTCAACGTTGAACGCCGCTGGCGGGGTCGCCGCCGGTCGACACGACACGAACCTACCGCACTGGGGAAAAAATACCGACACGAACTTTGGACGTTTGTTTTTCCCCCACGAACCACAATGATGAACGACCCCTATCCCACAGACTGCACGTTTACCACTACAGCAGGGCTGCGCCACTGCGTGAGACGGAGAAGCCAGCGGCGGACGTCAATAAGCGTGCAGACATGAACCTTGGACGTTGCTCGATGGCGGGGCGACAAGTGGGGGGGAGTGGGGGGGGACAAAGAGACGTGCACCTTTTGCGCCCCAGAAGGCTCCTTCTGAGCCCCTAGAATGCACAAAAGGTGCTTCATCCCCCCCAGGCTATCGCCCCAAGATTACGCAACGCCTTAGAACTGGAGTTCGCGCTGGCCTCCAGGTCCTGGCGTCGGTGTCGTGCCACTCTTGGGCGCCGAAGCTCTCGTGGGAGCCGATCGTCGCGGAGCTCTCCCGCGACAGGATGCTCGAGCGCTCCTCCCAAGGGAGGGGGGGGGGGCGTGGCACAAGCGCTGCATTCGCTGCTCCTCCTCCTGTTCCCCAGCCCTCCCCCCTGTGGAGGGGGAAGGGGGGCGAGGGGGGCAGGCAGGCCATCCTCCCGCCACAGGCACGCCCACGCAGGCAGCTTTGTATGACCCTGTGCGAGCCCCGGTTTTGGCTTCGGCCCTCGCGGACCCCTTGAACCCCGCCCACCTCGGGGTCCACCCTGGAAACGCTGGGGGCGTGCCCCCTCAGGCAGGGCCCCGTCGCATCAGTCGCAGGAACGGGCCGCCGAGCGCCCCCACCTCCCCCACCTGCTGCGGGCCGCGTCCTGGCCGCACAGCAGCATCGCAGCGGGGCCGCCAGCCAGCGCCGGCAGGGGCCGCGGCCTCGCCGCGGCGGGGCGCCAGCGGTGGCCTGAGAGGGAGGCGATGAAAGTACAGCACGCGCAATCAAGCCTCTACAGTCAGGTGAATACTGTTGGCAGTAGAATCCTGGAGCGCATACGCACGTATCGGTGCTGTCAGGGCAGCATGCGTCATGTTGTCATCATCCTCATCATCATCATCATCATCATCATCATCATCATCATCATCATCATCATCATCAGCAGCAGCATCATCATCATCAGCAGCAGCAGCATCAGCATCAGCATCAGCATCAGCATCAGCATCAGCATCAGCATCATCATCATCATCATCATCATCATCATCATCATCATCATCATCATCATCATCATCATCATCATCATCATCATCATCATCATCATCATCATCATCGTCATCGTCAGCAGCAGCAGCAGCAGCATCATCCTCACCATCATCAACATCATCGTCATCATCAGCAGCATCATCATCATCGCCATTGCATCCGTAGCCTGCTTGTCCCAAAAGGCGCGATTTGAGGAAGTGTCATGGCGTCGGGTCCGGCGCCTGCGAAGCAGCGCAAACGCGATGCCGCTGGGACCGACCGACGACCACGACGACAACCGACCGACAAACGGACCGACGACAATCAGACGACCGACAAGCCGACGGATCGACCGACCAACCGACGACCGACGACAAACACGACGACGACCGACGACGACCGACCGCCACGACCGACGACCGACGACGACGACGGACCGACCGACCGACCGAGGACCGACGACCGAGGACCGACGACGACCGATCGACCGAGTAACCGACCGACGGACGGACTGACCGAGACGACGACGACCGACGACGGCGAACGACAGACCGACCGACCGACCGACAACCGACGACCGAGACGACGACGACCGACGACGGCGAGCGACAAACCGGCCGACCGACCGACAACCGACAACCGAACCGACCGACCGACCGACCGAGACGACGAAGAACGACGACCAACGCACCGACCGATCGACGACCAAACGGAAGAACAGACGGACGGACGAACCGACCGACCGACCGACTAACCGAGACGACGACGAACGACGACGACGACGACGGACGGACCGACCGACACACCGACGACCCGCGACCGACCTACCGACCGACCGAAACGACGACGAACCACGACCGACCGACTGACCGACCGACCGATGACCAAACCGACCGACCGACAGACCAACGACCGGACCGACCGACCGAGACATCGCACGCGCACCATCGCAGCGTGTGCGAACAGGCCCCGCTGGGAAACGAGGCGCGACTACAATGCTAGGACTCCCCCTGCCCCAGGCCCGTCTCCCGCCCCTCCCTCCACCCTGGCCCCACCCTATTTAGATTCTTGTAAGCCTAGACGGGGTGTGGTTCCAGCGCGCAATTCTTACGAGGGAAAACGGTTCCAGCAGCTCATGCCAGCAAGACAAGTCGGCTCCAGCACCTTACTTTTACGAGGGATGGTGGTTCCAGCAGCCCACGGCGTCGTCTCCAGCACACAATCTTCTTTACGATGGCCAATAATTCCAACAGCTCATGCCTACAAGAGAGATGGGCTCCAGCACCTGATTTTCTACGAGGGACGGCGGTTCCAGCAGCCCGCGGCTTCGATTCCAGCACCCGAATTTTACGTGGATAATGGTTCCGCGCCTCAGGCATTCAAGACACATGGGTTCCAGCGCTCATTTTGTACGAAGGATGGTGGCTCCAGCGCCACACGGCGTCGGTTCCAGCGCCCAACATCTGCGAGGGATAATGGTTCCAGCGCCTCATTCCTTCAAGACAGATGGGTTCCAGCGCTCAATGTTTACGAGGGGGTGGCTCCAGCGCCCCACGGCGTCGGCTCCAGCGCCCAATCTTTACGAGGGATTCAGGGGGCAGGCAGAGCGATCCACGCCCCCACCACCCCTAAACCATGCCCCGCCTGGTCGAGATGTTCATCACCGAATTATTCACCTAACTGTAGGAAGGACGTCAAGACGATGAAGGCGCTGTGGGTATGGGGTAAAGGCGCGAGCTGTCGGACCCCGAAGGAGGCGAGGGACTCAAATCTGGCGGGGGGGGAATGGAGAAGGACAAGGCGACGCAGACATTGTAGGTATGGGCGCGCGTTTTGTCGGACCACCATCCGACGACATACACCCATAGCCCACCACCGGGATTTCACCCCGAGAAATTCTGGAGGTCGCTAAGGTGTGGGGGCCAGTTATCAGCTCATGGGGAGGGGGAGGGGGCCAGTCTTCGCCAAGAGCAGCTCCGTCCACAGTCATCGACGGGCCCCTGCGCTGCGCGGGAGGCCGGCTGCGAGACGCACCGATCAGGCGGGATCCGCCGCCTCGGGATCCCAGGGCGCACATTCGCCTAACCCTCTCTGCTTGTTGTGGGGAGGCGGTGTGGAGGAGGCGATGAAGGTGACGAGGGATAGCGAGAAGTTGCGAGCACAGGAAGGGCAGGAGGAGGCCCGCCGCTGCCACAGGGGAAGGTCGGACAAGGGAGGGAAGGACCGTCGCCGAGAGAGCAGAGAGGGCTGGCAGGCAGTCCTAGGGGGCGGCCGCGGCAGGAGGACTTGGAGGAGAAGGGCGGGAAACGGTACTCAGCTGGCGGAAGGCTGACGGGATATATAGACCCTTCTTTGGCGATGAGGTGGCCATCCGATCAATACCAGAGACTGGCGGTACGGGAGGCCGGGGGAGGAGGTAGGAAGTAGGAGGTAAGAGGTAGAAGGTAGGAAGTAGGAGGTAGGACTGAGGAGGGAGGAAGAGATGGAAGGACGATCGTGAAAGAGTCAACAGCCGCGCAGCCAACCCCTAACATGGAGAAGCCTGCGCCAGCGCCTGGTCATCCGAGTGAAATGTTCTGTCCGATGCCCCACCGTTTGCCAAAATCGACGGCCCCGCCTGCTTTATGATAATCTGAATCAGGTCGGCCTGCCTGAGGTGACGGTGACGGTACCCGCAAGAGTGTCCACGCGAAGGGACTGAGCGGGACGGGGCCAGAGAACCCGAAAAAGCAAACAAACAAATAATATGACGCGGCTGGCAAGTGCATCGCGGCTAGCACATTCGTTCATGATGCACGAAGCTATGCTCCAGCTCGTTCTATTTTGGTGGAACCAAACTAGCTGCCTGAGGGGAAAGCCCAGAAGCGCTGCACCAAGTATACCCACTGCCCGACCGTCTGGCCAAACCCGAGCCCTGGCCTCCGCGCGGCGCCCTGGGGCTGGCGCGTGGGGAGCCAGTTCCTGCAACCAAGCGTAAACGGCT